ATATATATAATATTGTATTATTGTCCTACTTTATTTTCCATTATGTGGCATTGTCGGTTTTTGACTTTTCCGCCGATAACAGAAAGGCATTTTGGCAAAGTGGTGCGTGCCTTGATGAAGTGCCTCTTTTGCTAACATGCTGATCTTTAGATTTCTTTTTGCTTGTATTTAAATTCTCACATTTGTATTTATATTGCTTAATTAGGCCAGTTTACTTTTAACTGATATTTAGCGTTTTTCCATTTTGACTTATTGTTTTAAAAATTAAATTCCGTTATTAATTTTTGTTTAATTCTATTTTCGTACTTTGATTATGTATATATACTATAAAGTATTCTATCTATGCAAACTGCAGAAAGTAAGAAACGCAAAGTTGTATTTATTAAATCATTTCATTATGGTGTAATGGTTAGAGAGCATCCAAATCAGATATGCTTGATATGTTTTATTTTGCATTTTTCAAGTAGTAAGTTTTATTTTCGCTTCAATTTTTTTGGTGCTCCTCACACTATTGTAATGATATATTTTGCTTTGGCTATATTTATACAATATTAGAAAGCCCTCTTTATAATCTTGCGAGTACTTTATAATCTTACGGGTATAATCTTGCGAGCTGATGAGGATTATATCTTTTCCTTACTACTTTCAATTATTAAAGTATACATTTTGCTTATTTGATTAATTTATTCTTCTTTTTGAAAATATGTATTTTTCTTTAAATATTTACCTTCATTCTGCTATCCATCAAAATCATGATATATTCATTTATAATGATCGCGAAATACGATATCCGGGTTTAAAAAAATAAAAAAAAAAAAAAACAAAGAAATGCCAGAGAGAAGTAAGGTTCAAACCTGTGAGGGTACCAAGACAATAAGTTGTCGAAATAATCTCCAAAATCAATCTTCCCTGATATGAAAAGCTCAAAGAATTCATCGAAGGTTCCATTGAACTTGAACCCGGGTGAATTTCTCATATGATGGTAGAATGAAACACAGCAGTCCTTCGGATTTCTTGTTACGTATATGTATTTAGCATCTTTCGAAAAAGGAGTCAGGTGAAACGGTAAATGAGTTTTGATAGGACCTGGCCTCATCATTTTCTCGACGAAATCGACACCTTTTAGAAATAAAGAATTATACAATTACTAAATTCAAGAATTATACAATTAATAAATACAAGAATTATACAATTACTAAATACATATTAAAATACAGAATCGTGTTAATTTTTATTGCAATTTAAAATACAGTATTGCTTGATTAAAAAATTTATTTTAGAATTGACGCAAAAAATGCAACACTTTGCTGTTTTAATATTTCATAAATTCAGGAAAAATTTTAAAAGAATGCTGTTGATATCTTATTATTTTATTTTTTTGTGTGAAATATTTGAAGTATGAATTATTTATATGAAAGCATCGCAATGATAGATTCAAGTTTTAATTTAAAAAATTAACTTGTCGTGATTCAACCATACAAAAAGGGATTGAAAAATTGAAGTCAAAGAGTGAAATAAAAATCTGAACGAGTTAACAAATCGCCATCAGTCCACCATGCTGCCTCTAAATGTTTCGTGAATGTATTTCAGTGACTACAAATGACGGAAAAGATCAAAGATACAGTTAAATACAAAAAAAATATAATAAATTATAATCAAGAAAAATAATTTAATTAAGAAACCTGTGAAAAAAGAAGAAAAAATCATACCCTTTAAAATAAGGCAACATTAGGTTGTGACGTGGATACCAGTAGTTTTAATATTTATTTATCTTCGCTTTTTTTATTAAAAGTAAATTCGCTGGTGCTCTTTACCATACGCATTTTGTATATACAGGGTGTTCCGTAAAGACCATCCATAATATGTAGTTTTAAAATCTTCATAAAAATGAAAGCAAAAATTATATTTTATTGAGAAAACAAAACATATAAGCCTTTGAAATATGACTAATTAAAGTAGAGGAAGGAGAATATAACAAACATTAAAATATGTTTAATTAAGGGTCGAAACTTGAAAGTGTTTCTATAATCATGCTTCAATTCTCTTTATTGTTTCTTCTCGCAATCATCAAACCTGTTTTGTTTATTGCAATCCCCTTCCTTTTGTCTGATTTCCATAGAGTCTTTGTTATTTCTTCTGTTAAATATTAACTTGCAATTCCCAACTTGTATACTTTTATTTTTGATAAGGGTTTTAAAATTATTATCAAAGGACATCAATTATATGTCAAGGAAATTATCATTTTATACCAGTTGAGGGCAGAAAAACAAAAAACAGCTAATTTTTTTAAAATAATAAATACTATTTTAAAGTTTTACTATCATCATGGTCAAAATACTTAACTGAATTACTTTGCCTCATTTTCATATTATTTGCGTCGTTTGTATGAAAACATTAATCGGACATTAATTGTTATATTAAAAAAATATTATTTTCAAAGTTTCAAGTGTTTATGCAGCTGGTGACATGGTAAACAATAGTTTTGAAAATATGTTGAATACGACAGTAGTCATGAAATTAAGAAAAATCGGTTGAATTTTGTGATAAAAGGACAAATGAGGTTTATCTATTGTCAATACATTGGTCATTTTCATTTACACCTGAAAAAACAGTTAAAAAACGTAATTTTTGTATCTGGGCGGGGCTACAAGACACATTTTGAAAAGAGCTGATAGACATGTTTTTTTTAAAATTTCTATTTTTTTAAGTTAAACTATTCTTTTTTTGTTTTTTCTTCTTGGATTATTTAATTAGATGATAAAACAATATTAACATACAAAAATATTGATCATTACTCAATATTATACAGAAATATAAGCAATACTCCTTAAGTGGGCGGGGCTACCCGACTCTCCGGTAAACAAAATTTTGACTGCGTGATATTGTGTAGCATTTTCATTTGTAGTTTTTAAAAAGAAAAAAAAACATTTACCTGACATTTCTAAAAACGGAGCTTTTGCATGCAAATCTGATGCATTTTTGAGAGGCTCTCCCTTCTGCAGTATTAGGATAAGTATCTGTCCTGTCCAAGTGGTTCCACATTTAGGATAGGTCACCAAGAAAAGGTCATCTGGTCGCGGTTTGTATTTGGTAGCAGCACGAAAAATATCCGGCGAAAACACTCCTGGAAGTTGGAAACCATCGACAACTTGAGAAAAGGAAACCGACGACATTTTTCGTATTCTGTCGAAAATAAGGTGTAGAAGAGCGACTAATTTTTTAAAAGCAAATTTCGGTTATCTTCTCTTTAAATGCTGTGTTTTTATAGTTACTTTTGATTTTATCTCTCATAAAATCAAATATCATGTCATTATTGTGCTATTTATCTAAAAATAAATGTAACATTGAACTTACAACAGATAATTTTTTTTCTGAATTTGACAAATGAAAGAGATTTGAATATATTTTGTTTTTTATCTTTAGTGATGGCAATTTTGAAGAAAATAAAGATAGGGTTTGCAATAGAGAAATGGTACGACTCTTATATAAACAAAGTGTCGGTGAACCAAAGGGCAACTGTTAAGTATAATTTCTATTATTAACCAAAAAGTAGGGGAGAGTGGGGTCAATTGTAACATTTTTTACTTAACTATTTTTAACTAACAAAAAATCCAATATATTATTAGTATTAATTGACAGACGAGTAAAGTAGACTATCCTCTACTAGAAGCAAAAAAATACCTTATTTTAAATGTTATTATATTAGTTATTAACAATTTTTAACAGTCGTGCACTTGTTACTATTGTCCCCACTTACGGGGTCAATTGTAACAGTTCATAAATTCAACTAAAACATAGTTAATTATACATATTATCATAGTTGTGATATATTTTTTTATTGATCAAAATAGTAGTGATATTTTAGGAGTAAATATAATAATGAGCAGAGACCTAAAGGGTTAAACTTTTAACTTTAAGGGGTTAAAAATGTTAATTTATGCAGTAAAAGGCGACAAATAAAATAATGTACATGCAACATAATATAAATGGTATAGGAAATTATTGGTGGTTCTTAAAGTGTTAAGTAATGGTTTGTAAACATAAGATTATTTATTTTCAGCTGTTACAATCGTCCCTTTACTTATTGTTACAATCGTCACCAAGTTAATTAACAAAACTAATTTTTTTTATTGAAATGTTAATTAAGGTGTCCACTTACATATAATAATGTTAATAATTTTCATTTGTTTAAACAAAATTACTTTGTTACAATATAATATTCTAAAACCAAAAAAAGTACTTACGTAGCGTGAAAATATCTTTTGTGATGTAACTCTTTCAAAAGCACATAAAAATGGTTGCCAGCAGGGGTGTACATGTAGATTTATTAAATACACCTTATGCGCCTTCTAGGAACCAAATCTAGAAACCGACGCTCGAAATTTTTGCTCTGTTACAGTCGTACCCTGTTACAATTGACCCCACTCTCCCCTACTAAAAAATGAGTTTTTGATAGTACACTACATCTTATAAGTATCTATATTATATGAAGATAGGTCAGAAAAATTAGTGTAACCTCTTCTTCTGTGTTGAAATAAGAGCCAACCCGGAAATAATACCTCTTCAGAATGCAAAACTGGGTAACGTTGTGGCAATCAAGATTATGCTAAATTTTTTTTAAATTTTGCTCGCAGTTAAAACTTTCACTGCACAAATATCAATTATTATTTATTTGTTTCTGTTGCTAATATGTAATGGAATCCAAAATCATTACAGATTGACCCCTTAACTTGTGCGCTCGAGTTAATTCGAGCGCGCTAAGCAGGCCAAACTGTGCACACTTGAGATAATTCGAGCGGCTTTGTATTTTATGCTGCTATAATTTTTCACACTCAAGTACGATCGAGAAATGAAAATAACAATGCGAAAGCTAAGAAAAGAAATCGTTTTATTGATATCTTCATAGTATTGTAAGCTATGACTCTTATTTATTCAAGAATAAAATATAGCCTTTTTCCATGGACCAAAAGCGCAGTATATCGAAATTGAAACGTAACGTGTGAATGTTTCAAAATTTCATCTGGCAAGTCACATTGTATCAGTTCTCTGGTAGTTAAGCTTTTAAAATATTAATAAATTCAACCAACTTCCTGAAACCTTTAGCTTTTAATTATCTGCCATTCTATAAAATATTTTCTAGAAACATAGCTGTTGGAAACTCTAGTAAAAGCATGAAATTAGATATAGGGGAGAGTCGGGTAGCCCAGCCCACTTAAGGAGTATTGCTTATATTTCTGTATAATATTGAGTAATAATCACTATTTTTGTATGCTTCTATTGTTTTATCATCTAATTAAATAATGCAAAGAGAATAAACCGAAAAAAGAATAGTTTAACTTAAAAAAATAGAAATTTAAAAAAACATGTTTTTCAGCTCTTTTCAAAATGTGTCGGGTAGCCCCGCCCAGTTACAAAAATTATGTTTTTTGACTGTTTTTTCAGGTGTAAATGAAAATGACCAATGTATTGACAATAGATAAACCTCATTTATCATTTTTATCACAAAATTATTTTATTTATTACATATTTATATACTTTTAGTGAATTCTATCATTTAATAACAATAATTTAATAACAACAATATTTGTTGTTAAAAATGCATATAACATTCAAATTTGAAGCAATAAAATAATAATCTTTGCAACCGTACATTTATCGACGAAATAAAATTGGGCGGTGATACCCGACATTCATGTGAGCGGGGCTACCCGAAATCCAATTTTTTTGTAAATTTGTAATTACTCGAACAATTTTTCACATATAAACTTCTTTCTTTGTGCAAATTAAACTTAAGACTACATACTTTAATGCTGTTTGTATAGAAAAAATATTTTTTTTTAGTATTAAAACTAAGCTTAATCGAAACATTCAACCAATTTTTTTTAATTTCATGACTACTGTAATCAACATATTCTCATAACTATTGTTTACCATGTTAACAACTGCATAAATACTTGAAACTTTGAAAATAATCTTTTTTTAATATAACAATTAATGTCCGATGTTCCATTAACTAGAAAAAATATTCTATACATATGAAATTGAGAGTGGGCGGGGCTACTCGACTCTCCCCTACGACTCCCGAAAACAAGCTCTAAAGTATTCGTTGACTTCTTAAAAACCCGATTACTGACATGGCAGAACCGCCATCCAAAAAACTCTGTATTTTGTCAAAGAAAAAGATATTAAGAGATTCTCAAAGAAGAAGAATGGCCCAAGAAACGTCTGTGGAACGTCAAAGAAGGATGGAACATGACCGAATATAACACAACTGCAGCAGAACTGGATATGAAGACAAAATTGCAGGACAGGAACACTTTAATTGTCCCCTAATCTTCAGATTTCCTGCTATGTTTTAAAAAACTTTATTTGTGAAAACCTTTAGCGTGGCGGACAGATGACCGCCTCAGGCGGCTGGTATTAAAATATAAGTAAGATTTTACATATTTTTTTCATGTTCACTAAATAAAGGGTACTTACGTATTAACGCAACCAGGCCAAAATTCGCATAATTCGACCCTACTTACGGCAACCCTACGTGTTATACGTGTTTTTCGTAAACAAATTATTTTGCTTACTGGTTAGATTGAATGCCGTGAAATACTTTAACTATGGGTATTTGGGATCTGCCTGCGAGTGAAAAAGATGCTGTTGAATTGTTACAGGGATATGGAATTATACCGAACGAACGTACTTGTGAAAATTCTCATAAAATGAAACTGTATTTTGGAAAGCAAATCTTATATTTTAAATCCTATATTTTAAAACGAAATAATATAAAAACTGTATTTGTTATGAGAAGTAGCACTATGTGATGTCGAAATAATATGTAATCTAAAAGGTTATTAAAATATATGCTTATAATTTTGTTTATAAAATACTTTGTTTTATAAAAAAAAATTGATTTCTATTTTTTCTACTTACGCCATATTTGGCGATTTATGAGAATTTTGGTCTGGTTGCGTTAATACGTAAGTACCAATAATTGTATTTTCATAAAAATATTTGAACTGAACTGTATTAAACATCTAGGCACCAGTGGCCGCTTGCTGCTCTTTTCCCATTCATCTTTAACTTGAACTTTGTTGTGTGTCAATGATGTGGTGGAATACAAATAAAGTGATGGAGTATTTATTCATGTAGATAGATGATCATTGAGTTTTGACTGTGTAGTTACATGCAGTAGGGTGATAAGAGCATAATGTAAAAATATGATATGTAACTTGAGCTAAGCTGGTATGGTGAAAATGTGGTTATGTATATGCTATTGATGTCGGGAATATGATGCATAACTGCTATAGTACGCTGCTATTGATCTGATGTTCTTGTTTCTGGCTAAACTTTCATATAGTAATATATAAGTGAAATTTGCTGCAGAGCAAGAAGTAGTTCATAAAATTTGATATTTAATATAGCTATGTGTTTGTCTATTGCATCTATTTTGAGGTGTATTGCGCCGTTTATTAAGAACCATCTGGCTCTTGCTATTCTACTTTGTGTTTTATTTTGACAGACTCTTAATTAGTTTAGCTGAATTCGGGTTATATTCATAAAACGATTTCTTTATGTATTAAAATCAAATATGAAAGAGATTACCTAGAAAAAGAAGTAAGAGTTATTTTCTAAGATTTCTGAAAAATTGGTAAGATTTCAATATATTGAGCTATGTATTGAATTATTTCCGAATTGCCATGGAAAATTATTTCTGTTTCTTTTTTTCCCCAGTAACATTGTCTTTCGTTTATTTATTAGTACGTTGGTAACAAAATTAACCAACTAGCTTAAAGTTTTATTAAACGGATCAATTTTGTGTGAAAGCAATTTTAGTATTCAAAATTGCTTTCCTCTAAACATATTTCATTCGGCTTTGTTTTAAATCAGTCAAGAATAAAAAAAATTCAAAAATTGGGTTGCATCTTCACTAACTCAGGCTGCACTGCACACGAATTCATGCTAGGATTACTCAAAAAATATTATTTCCTGTTTCAAAAGAGGGAAATTAATATCATCCATATGTGCAAATGTACTGCTGTATCAAAAGAGTCAATTTCTAATCATCATTTAGATTAAAATTAATGTTTTTTTAAAATTCCAAAGTACATAGCTGCTACTCCAACATTTTTAACGGCAGGCACTGAATTTATTATTCTTCGCCATGACTGGTGTCGGATGTGTTGCTCATTTTGAGCTGCCCTTGTGACCAGAGTCTCGGAGGTGAGCAATATTACTCACGCTACACTGCCACAGATACCCAGTCGTAAGGTAACTAATAAAACAATTTCTTTTTCTGTCTTACGTTTTTTTCTTCCATAAGTTTTCAATACATTTAACAAAATATTCAATAAATTTAAACAAAAATTTTTGACCAACTAAGGAATAACTAAAGAAGGAGAAAACAAAAAGTGATGACACGTTTCTTAAGAAAGAGTTTAGAAATGTAAAAATTTTAATTTCGTTTTAACTTTAGAAGTTCATCACGACATCCTTAACATCTAAATAAATCCTTTAATTTGAAAATAATTTTTGATATTTAAAAATTATCACAAATATTTCATTTCTGTTACTTTTCTACCACTTTAAAACTTCCAGATGGTATAAAGCTTGATTGCACTAAAAAAAAAACACAATGATTTCTGGAAAAATAGCGGAGTTTTTTTTAACCCAAAACGGCACTTAAAAAAACAGATTCTAATGAAAACCTGAATAACTATGCATCCTAAAGAAACTCTAATAATTATAAATCCCAATAAAAACCTCAATAATCATAAATAGTGAATAATTAACTCTTTGCATTCCGCTGTCTCCACTATGGCATCATCAACAATCACAATTTTAAATTTAAGAAATGTTATACCTTAATAATTAATAACCACATTATTTTAAGAATTGTATAATAATACTGTATTGTGTATTTTAAATGCTTTAGTGCTGATATTGGAGCAAACAGCTTTTTAAAAAAACTCCGAGTGTAAAGGGTTAAATTATTAATTATGCCCTTACTAGGTATGATTGTCGCCCTAAATGACAGCGCCCCCTTGTTTTCACAACCCATAGTTTAAGGATCCATGCCTTACATAATCACGTCGGATAGACAGTAAAGTAATACTCGTACAGAATAAAGTAATAATCACGCAGGAAAATAATTAAACAGAATAAAGTAATAATCGTTACTTTTTCTACCACTATAAGTCTTCCAGATATTAGAAAATCTTATTACATTAGAAATCAGCACAGCACACATAACTATCTTATTGCTTGCGTAAAATTCGTGGTGTTTTTTTTAACCCAAAACGACACTTAAAAAGCCAGATTAATTATGAAATTCTAATAAACACTTGAATATTTATGCATCCTAAAAAACTCGAATAATTATAAATCCTTATAAAAACCTGAATAATTATAAATGGTGAGTAATTAAATTATAAATTGTGACTGTGTAAGGACATAATTTTATAAATTTATTGACGGTATTGCCCAAAACCCTTTAATACTTTTGTAAAATAATTTCGCAACAAACGTATGAAAGCCGCTCTAAATGACCGCACCCCCTTGGGTTCACAACCCAAAGTTTTAGGATCCCCACTGTCCTACATAATCACGTCTGATAGATAGTAATTGGTGTATGAAAATGGATTGTTGTTGTTGACGTATGCCTGTTTTAGGCAGAGGGGGTGCGATTGTTCTTGTTTTTCAGTGGCGCCATCTATGGTCAAGAATTCGACTTCTGTCACACCATGCGTCACACCCGTTAATAGGGCCGACCCATTCATCCATCCACAGCTTGTAATTTTGGCCTGAATCAGAGAACGATCGATCTGCAATCCAGTACCCCCAGAGGTTTTGATTTGTTGTGGGAACATGAAGGACTTTTGCGACTCGACAGATTTAACGTGCATTATGAAAATGAAATAAACAGAATAATGTAACAAAAATATCTAATTTCTTTGATTGGTAATTCAATTTTATTCCTCTGATTAACATCAGAATGTTTAACGTAATAATTACATATCATCTTTCCAGAGGCTAGGTATATCCGTTCCCATTGTNGTTATGTATTTTTTGATTTTAATAAACATTTACCCGTATGTCCTAAATAAGGGCGGGTCGGGGTAAATTCTTCCGTAACAAACGTATGAAAGCCGCTCTAAATGACCGCACCCTCTCGGGTTCACAACCCAAAGTTTTAGGATCCCCATTGTCTTACATAATTACGCCTGATAGACAGTAATTGGTGTATGAAAATGAATTGTTGTTGTTGACGTATGCCTGTTTTAGGCAGAGGGGATGCGATTGTTCTTGTTTTCCAGTGGCGCCATCTATGGCCGAGAATTCGACTTCTGTCACACCCGCTAATAGGGCGGACCCATTCATGCATCCATTCATTCATCCACAGATTGTAATTTTGGCCTGACTCAGAGAACGATCGATCTGCAATCCAGTACCCCCAGAGGTGTTGATTTGTTATGGGAACATGGAGGACTTTTGCGACTCGACAGATTTAACGTGCGTCATGAAAATGAATTAAACAGAATAAAGTAACAAAAATATCTAATTTCTTTGATTGGTATTTCAATTTTATTCCTCTTAACATCGGAATGTTTAACGTAATAATTACATATCATCTTTCCAGAGGCTAGGTATATCCGTTCCCATTGTTCTTTCTCTGTATTTTCGCTCCAGTCTCGCGTTCTGCATGGGGGACAAATAATTCTTCCAATCTCCAACAATACCTAAAATATAAAAAATGATATAATATACCATGTAAAAATAAACTTATTGCATTCTTTTACGTTCAAATTTATTTTCTACTCAGTTTACGAAAGTGACCTGGTCACGAAAGTTTCATTTGAACCTGGACTGATAAACCAGTGTCTATAATCCGAAAAGATTTCGCTTTTAAAAAGTAAAGATTAAACATGCCAATCATGAGAACGTTCGAAATTTTGTGCCTCTATATGCTAATTTTACATTTTTCGTATGCAACATTATGTCCAGAACTACGACGGGAAATTAGGGGAAAAAAGTTTCCCCGGAAATTGAACAACAATGGAGTTAATATGATCGGTTGAACGTGAAAGACACCATGGGGACCATCATTATGCAGATAGGATAGCTGTCGTAGTGTCTACGCAAAGAATTGACACCAGCTTTATATTAAACCCAGGACTCTAGTATGCCTATTACTGAAAAAAAGTCTTGCGTATTTAAGTGTTAACTGACATCTATGAGTATTAAAGTGGGTTTAAAAAGTCAAAGTATCTTAGATTTTGTAGCCATCCTAACATTAGTAACACGTTGAAAGCCACGCTAATTTTACATGGCTTGCAAGTCTGGCCAAGCGGTAAATAACTACAAACTAAATTTGCAAATGTAGCCAGATTTTTCTAATTTTTTAAAAGGTTTAGCAAGAGATATCTGAAAAAAGTGGTGAATTATATAAGCCTACGAATTGTTTAGAAATAATGGTGGATAAAAATCAACTAAATTGAATTTATTAAACCAAGAATCACAATTAATAAACTATCACTGGAAAATATTTATTCGCAGTCCGGAGCAAGTTGTCATCTCTGTGTACATAAATAAAACTATTTTTGTGTGTTCTATATTGCATTAATTTCTTCAAACCATTTTAGTAACGATAATAACATTAAAAAAAAATTAAAAATTTACTCGAACTATGTGCTCTACTAATCTAGACTTCGCCGGTCACCGGTGACCCCCGCGGCGCTACGAACAAACTCAGTGCCGATCACCGGTGACCCCCATGCCATTCAACGTGTTCTGCAACATCTAATGTCTCTAAATTGATACATTATGCTGCTCTAATGGGCCGAAAATTGGGGGGGGGGGAGCAGAAAGTTAAAATTAATGCTAAAAATATCCGACTACTTTTATTAATTTGTTAACGTTAACCATTTGAGGCGTTTTAAAAGTTAATATTTCTTAAAAACATTAATATTTTAGGGAGACCAAACAGCCCCTCTTTCTGTAACAGAATTCACAGGTAGATATTAATTAACTAAATCATGCAGAATTATTCTTTTTTAATTTCACCATTACTTATATAAGCTAGTTACATAATTACTGAGTTGATGATAATGAAGAGGATCTGCACTTTTCGCTTTTATCATCCGGACCTTGAGAGATATCAAGTTAAATTGCGGTGTTATTACACGGTTGGATTGATTTGATGATGAAATAAATGTGATAAAATTAAATAAATGCATACCTCTATTACATAATTTTATGGTAATCGAAATATGATTATTAATGTCCTAACTTTGTTACGGATCCTCCCTGGCCGTGTGGTATCGTCTGCCAAATACTCTGTTGCGTGCAGGTGTCGGGATTAAGTCCCGTCGTAACCCAGGATGAATCTTCGTGTCGTCTTTTTCTGAATTATTGTGCAATCTGTCCTTTTTATGCCTGACAATAGTGCATATGTATATTGTAACAATGGACTATAAAAAAAACTCTATTACCGTCGAATTCTTAAAAATTTTTTACTTAGTTTTTGCGTAGATATTCTTGTTATGCATCCGTCGTTGAATAGCCGACCCAATTTGTGGGTTTACGACCACTAATGTTCAACTCCGTAGCCTTGTAATTTTGAACCAATCCAGAAGACAAGGAAACTCCAGGATCAGTACCCACAGAAATATTGATTTGTTATGGGAACATGGAGGTCTTTGCGACTCGACAGATTTAACGTGCTTCGGTCCCCGTTTACTACACGGGGACGACTTCGGACGACTGGGATCGGACATGGGCCCAGTGCCTTACCAATTATGCTATCCCGGCCTAGATATTCTTGTTAGAAATACCACTCTAATCAATAAAATAAGATTTTTCCGTAATTTGTTTATTTTTTTTCTTTTAATTTTTAAGAACAAGTTTTTATCAAATCAGAAAGTTGAAATTTTACATAGCCTTTAATGATGATAGGTGGCAAACGGCGCTAAATGTTTAAAATACCTGTTTAGGGTGGCCCTTACTTCGTCAGCTTTTTAAAAGTTTCGCTTCCATCTCCTATCTTGTTTTAAACAATGAAGAAGAAAAAAGAAAACGATATGGGCAGAAATTATTCCCAATTAGATAATTTTGAAGTAACCCTCATTGAAAATACCAAAAGTCTAGAGCCGTTTGTCTGAATTTTGTCCGAATAAGCTAAAATTTCAAACACACCATTTTTAAAAAAAAAAAAAAGAAAATACAGAAGGAAAGTTTTAAAAAATTAACAAAATAAATCAACCCTCCTGTATATTGTTCATGGTAATTTTTTTAAACAATTCTTGTATAGATTTCTAACATACCTTTCCTCACAAAATTGACATTTGTAGGTTCGGTGTGGAAAATGGGTTTTAAGAGCAGATCTCTCAAACCGGGTGGAATGTCGGGATTATTTTCAATGAACTCTTTGGGAAGTGAGCTCATTTCTGCCATGGATTTGTTTGATGTCTCTTTCATGTACTTAAAGCTAGAATGGTGAATGACATCCTTCAATATCTGTTCGTCACTCTCTAGCATTTCCTGTAAGGACACAATCTTTATTATATTAAACACTAATGCATTTATAGCCTCAAACCAGTGAAACTCACTGAACACCAACTAATAACACCATGTGAACTATAAAGTGGGCAAAAATGGAAGGTTAAAAACTGTTCATGTAAACGAACTGTTCTATATTTTTTTCTAATTATTATTCGTTACTATGCATTTTTTCTTACCTTTGGCTTCGGTTTTTATTCATTTTATGGATTAGCTTTAGAATGAAGGACTGAAAATTGTTGTAGCTCTAAGCACTGAAATTTTTTAATGTGCATGTTGGGAATTTCTATGATTTCCAAGTAGCGTTGTAAATAAAATTTTAAGTCAAATTAAATGTTTATAAATAAAATTTTTCATAGCATATATATAAGGGTTTGGAAAAAATATTAAAAAACTTCTATACTAACTCTATGTAAACAATTTTTCTCTTAGAAGCAAAATGAATTTCGAATGGCAAAAATGTTTGCATAATTTAAAAGATCATGCTTGAAGCTTTTAGAAACGGGATCTTTTTTATGTAAAGTTTGCATCGACCAAAATGTGAAAAGAAGTTAAGGCGTAGGAAGTTAAAACTTTCTTTCCATTTTCAATGTCGGAAACAAAACATTCTTATATAAATATTACAATTCTATACAATAATTAATTTCTGGTATTAAAACTAGAAAAAAGTTATTGACTTATTTTCCTTATTTTGGTCGATTCATATTTTACATGGGTATGAAGAATATCTTTCTTCAAGCTTGACCTTCAAAATTCATTTAATAAGATTCAATAAAATCCAATAAATAAACTAAAGATTCCGATCCACTAAACTTTTTAAATTTGACAGCCTCATTCACAACTTGTACCTATTTTCATGGTTCCTTCTAAAGGTCTTTAACGCACAACCTCGGCACTTTAGATATCATTTATAAATCTCATATGTTCAACGAATGGTCAATTCAAACATTAAGATATCATTAATAAACAACTACCTCTCCTATTTATTGCAATGAGAAGAACTTAAATGTAATTTGTATCACACATGAAGATGATCATTCTCATTTCGGTCATTTAAAGGCAAACATAGCGTCAATTATTAGTTTATTTCTAGCCTGTCAACTACTCTGCTTTATGAAAATTATTTTATAGAGCAATAGACAATTAAAAACTGAAGCCTTCTGATTTTTTGCTAATTTTGTCAATATTTTAAAAGTTTTGCCACTAGAGAGTTATAACAAAGTGGAGTTTCATATTAACTTTTGTATCATTTTCATACAGTGGTGAAGAAAATAACTTAATCATATTTACAAAACTAAATCATATTTACAAAACAAAGAATCATATATTAAGAACCTAAACTTAGCTACCACTAGAAGAAACATTAATAAAAAGAGTAAAAAAATTGGCAACCTTGGTTAATTTCAGTAATAGATTAGTTATTGCTAGTTAATTATAGTAGTTTCTTTGTACACATCATTGAAATNAAAATCTAAACAAATACATAAGATTACAATGCTCAAAAACTTACTTGAAAACAAATCCCAAAACCAAAGTAGGCAACTGACTACCAAGCATCAACTAAATTGAAATAAACGAAGTGAATAATTGAAATGTAGTTTCTAATTGCTTTAATTATTTTGATTTCTTTTCTTAATGTTTTAAAAATCTCAGTTTGAACAGATGCTTGACGATTGCCTCCTCTCCCAGAGTTGAAATTCTTCCCCCATCTTGAATTTACTTGAGAGAGTCATAAAATAAGAAGTTTAAGCTTTATGATACAACCAAGTGAGGAGTTGCTTCCAATGCATTTCCATGGGTGAAAGCCCTTATATAGCAAGACGGAAAAGAGAAAAACCTGGCGCGTAAAACATTTCATTCCAGCATTTTTTTCGAAAAAAATGAAATATCTGTAACTATCAAGATTTCTTTTATAATTCTGGCATATATATAAAACTGCTTCTTTTCCAAGATAAAGTAGATATTGCTGAAAAATTTGGAAAAAGAATAAGTTAACTCCTCCCCAAAACTAGCTATAACTGAAATGGTTTTACTACCAGCCTTTCCTCTTTTCCGTCTCGCTTTCACCCCTGTGCATGGGTATAAAGAATATCTTTCCTTAAGCTTCACCTTCAAAATTCAATAAAAACCAATAAATTAACTAAAGAGTCCGATCTACTAAACTTTTAAATTTGATTTCCTCATTCACAGCTTGTATCTATTTTTATGATTCCTTCTAAAGGTTTTTAACACACAGCCTCTGTACTTTAGATAACATTGATAAATCTCAAATGTTCAACGTATGGCCAATTATAACATTAATATATCATTAATAAACAACTACCTCTCATATTTATTGCAATGAGAATCACTGAAATTTGAAATATATATCTTTTGTAGTTAAAAACACCCGATTATCGCCGAGAACTGTACGTTTTCAAATTGTAAAATATTTACTGAACTTACCCTATAATTGGAGCCCATGAATTCTGCAATTTTCAAAATGTATGTCTTTGTGTCCTTCTTCAGTTGTTCATAAGTAATGAATAGGACATTTGGATCATTTCTGTGCTCGTACCAAGATAGCAGAGTGTCGAAGTAATCACCAAAATCTGTTTTGCCTTCTATGAAAAGCTCAAAGAAATCATCAAAATCTCCACCCGTGAACTGATAACCAGGAATATTTTCCGTGTGGTGATAGAATGAGACTAGACAATCCTAGAAGAGTTTGTTTTTTTTTAATTTTTTTCAATGTTATAAGTTATATTATTTAACGACGTCAATCTGATGCTTTCGAAGTGAGCCTAAAGAAAACCGGTTAACGAATTCCTGAGATATAGGGGATGAAACATACGGACAACTTATATTACGAATTGCAGGAGAGAAATGAATAAAAAATCTAAAACCTATTTAAAGACCTTTCTATCGTAGTGGGTGCCGTGGTAGTACAGTGGATAGAGAATCGGACTCCGGGCTGAAAGGGCAGGAGTTCAATCCTCAGCTTCGCTAAGACCTACCGAGAAGATGCGTGCTCGCAAAATCTGTAGAATCGAAAGTCCTATGGTCACGGAGCAGTACCAGAGATACGGGGATCTGGAGAAAATTTCCTTCCCCTTCAGATGTATGACTAAATTGAAGAAATGACCTCACAAAAATTGTGATGGCATGTTTTCGGATCATCCTCAGACATGTTTCCCAGGTCATCGTCAATAACCAATTGGCAAGCGCTAGTGCGACGTAAAATAAAATACCTACCTATCTATCGTAGTAAACCAAAGGGTCAGAATGATATGCCAGTTTGGAATTTTCGTCAATAGAAATACGCACAAATTTCACTCTCTTTCATATTCTTCCTCTATAAAAAGTGAACTTTTCTGGTTAAATTCCCACCAAGTTGTTCTTGTATTACTCCTATATATAAACTGTAACCTGCCTGCCATCTCTATCTAGGATTAAATATTCATTTATTAGATTAAAGTTTTGAAGTGATAAGAAAACGACGTTTTATAAAAGAAAAAATGTCTGCATTTTTATTAAACGGCTTTTTAAGTAATCAGCTTTGACTGAATAAACATGTAAAACCATAAGTGAACCTTACTGTTGATAAGAGAATACAAGTATACTTAGTAATACAAGTATACTTATAAAAAAGTGGAAATCTGTTAGAATCTAATGGTTATACCAGTGGGTAGCTCAGACTATCAAACTACTTCACGGACGGGCAACGTTAATTTACGTTTTTATATCATTATTTCGTAGAACGAGCAGCGTAAAATTGCGTTAAAAAATTAAATAAAATCACTGAGTTCAGCTTTTGAAAATATTTCGCGCTTATTTTTCTATATTTTTATCCAATTCTCATTTTTTTGAGATGTCTGACTATTTTCATACTTTTTTGGACACTTTCAATGCAAAATAAATAAAACAATAAAAAAAAATACATATTTACAGTTTCAATTAAATCGTTTCTGACTTATGACCAAGAAATCACATCACATCATTACAAATATCATACCTTCGGATTCCGCGCTACAAAAATGTATTTCGCTTCTGGTGAGTAGGGTGTTAAATAAAAGGGCAGGTGAAATTTTATGGCTCCTGGTCTCTTCATGGTATGTGCAGCTTCAGCTCCCGTCATCTCAAGAAAGGGGGTCTCCATCAGAAACTCAGTAAATGAAGTGAATGTCTGTCCCTTCCTGAAAATGCAGCCGATGATGTGTTGAACCCAAGTTGTCCCACATTTTGGGTAGGTTACGATGAACAGATCATCCGAGCGGGGTTTATAAGCAATGGCTGATCTGTAGGCATCGGCTGAAAACATGCCTGGAATTCGAAAACCATCTACATCCTGATAGAGTGGCGTAGGTTTTTTGGCTTCTGCTGTTGGTGCCATTTCCTAAAACAACAAAATTTAATTTTGACTTATGAATGTTGTGAATCTTTGCTCTAAATGTATCTTTTACTGATAAGAATTATTAAACAAATTCATTTTATTTTTTTGGAAGGTAATGTTGATTTTGGGATGAAAAAGATAGCTTGTTTACTTATGAGCTATGTATAGTTTTCAACTGCTCGTAAATTTTAACAGCAACTACGGAAGTTTTTTTTTCAAACAGCAACAAAAGTTGAAAAGACTTGTGCCGTAGTTTTGTCTTTTTAGTATGTGCGTACGATCCTTTCAACCTTTTCAAAAGTGGCGACAAAACATTTGCCCCACTCGTTTGTGGCAGTTATTTAAACCAATTAAATTCAAACAGTTATAACATTTAAACTATGCAATTTTTAGTCCACCACTTCAAGATATAAATGTTTTAAGGTAAAGCTGATCGATTTATTTTGTTTGAGCAATCATTTTAAAAGCAACCTCGCTGCCTGCTATCTTCAATGTCCAATCTAAAACTGGACTAAAATTCCATGATGAATGGGATTGAGCTATCAATGCGTGACGCTTAGTAATCTGCCGAAATTATTATCGTAGAGTGAAGCTTGAGTAAAATATTTTGCGTTCTCTTTTTTTTTAAGCATATTCCCCTTCCGTCAAAAACTAGTCGCTACATTTCAAGCAGGGGGAGTTATTTTTACAGGCTTGTCACGGCTGACTAAAATTAAAAAAAGTGATGACTGTTAAAATTCAAAATTTTATTAAAAAGAACTTAAATTTAGCAACATTTCATTGCTTATATTTCCAGCATACAATTTAAAGTGATTGTTTAATTGGTTTACTGAAATTACATTTATTTAAAGGCTTGTGTGCTCAATTTAGACTCATAAACCTTTATCAAATATAAGGACTGCACGAAGATACATCCAGGGTGACAGTGGGATTCGAACCCACTACCTCCACGCTTTGAAAAGCGTTTGGCGGGTTATGCCTCCAAATTCAGAAAAAAACTAAGCATTTCAAACAGACGAACCTCTTCTCTTTTTTTAAAGCTAACTTAGCTTTTATGAAATAAAATTAAATGCAAACTTAAACGAAAAACATAATTGTTTATTTATTTAAAATTGTTCTATCATTCGTAATTGGTAAACTTGTTTTTAGCTTAATTATATCAGTAAAGGTCATTTTTATTGACGCTAAATTTTATTCATCAATCTGGTTTTCATGACGCCAACAAAAGTAGCATTTCCCCACCAATAAAAGGACACTCAATAAAATTAAAATTGCTTTCGAAAAATCATGCACCTTCGATGCCGTTTTGGAGATAATGAAGAACGACCAACCTTCATTAACGGCCATTCTGCTCTGGAAAAGAGAGTGGTCGCTCCCGAGAGGTTTCACTGTAGTTTGATTCCTCTTACTTTTTCAGGTTTCGCAAAGTCATTAAGAAAATAAAAAAAGGGGTAGTAAAATCACATTGCGTTCAGATAATTTCTGAAACTAATGAAGCCGCATAACCCTTCCGTTATTATCACAACACATTAATTATAAAAATGCCTGTTAAAGTATGATTTTATCTGTCTTATTGCCACGTGCCGTTTCTTTACTGAAGCAGTAAAAACTATGAAAATATATCCACTTCTCAAATCATATTACTTCCAGTTTATTTTTTCTTTCAAAGACAATGAATCGTAATCTGCATCGATTGTTTCGTTAGAAGTCAGTCTGTTTACAAAATTGCATGCTTGAGATAAGAGATATTTAAATTTGCATTATTTCTGTTGCTTATCTGTAGTTTATCTTCTCCATTATATCTCTTTATATAACATTATGTATCTAGAGATTATATTGTGTTAATTATTATCGTTACTAATATTTGTCAAATCTCAATACAATACCTCTGCAGTTCTTTAACAATTAAACTTTTTTACAGAAAGTTATTGCAATATCAGATGAAGAGAATGCGACCTCGTATAAAGTATAAACAAAACCGGTGCTTTTAAAAAGAATTAAGTTATTAATTTACTCATTTTATAATCAATCTTTTGCTAGTTTGACTAAATTCTTTTTATTTGCGTTATTATCGGTCTGGATTGCAGGTAACAAACAGTGCAATTTGTGACCTTATAAAAATGTAATACACGTGGTTGCGCCCAAAAGGAATTACTTTAATTAATTCTCGTTGATTATTAAGTTGCAACAGGAGTTGACCAAAATAAGGGTAATACTTCAATAATAAGTCTATGGAAATTATTTTTTATAGCAACAAATCTTTCGAAAGATTTCACATAGCAAAACTGTTGGTATAATTAGAAACAGACTTCAAAACTTTTAGAAATGGTGTCCTTCGTAACTATCAGAGTTAACACGAATGACTAAAAATACAAAAAATGGTTACTAATGCAAAAAAAAAAAATTTGAAAGAAATTATAACTTTTCTTGCATATTTTTTCAGTTTACGTTGGAAAGTAAATGCGACGACGACGATCTGCACTTGGTAAGGTACCTGCCCCCTTCAGCGGGTACTAGACCTCTTAATCTAAATTATGCCCTAGGGTGACTGGAACTTTTGGCGGAAAGTAAATGCAAAGACTGTTTTTAAGTATCAATAGTTTGAAATGCAAGTCGTAATGGTAGCTGCGTTAGAATAATTAAAAAGATTATAAATAATTTAAAACATAATAAATAAACAAAAATTAATTAAATTTCTACCACTTTTAGCGTTTTTAGTCTTCTGGGAAATCCCTGAACTATGCAAAATTTGCATTGTCCTAAATGAGTGTAGGAAGTTAAAAAATGATTCCCTTTTTCAATACCGTTACAATTTGCTGAAATTGCAACCTCATTGGCTGAATCGCTGGACCAATAAGATATCAGAGCTAACAACACAATAGAGTAATTGCATTCCATATTATACTTTGTATTTTTAATATTTAGTGATGGAAAAATTTCTTGAAATGAAAAATACTAAATTAAAAATAATCATACTCACAGACGATAACTCTTTCAAATTCCCTCTGTTAAATTTTAAAATTTCAAAGCTGTACACAAATTGTGCAATTTTCATGAATCATAAGAGTTTTTTATAAAATTTTTGTAGATTTCAGGTTAACCCCATTCCGGAAAGATTTAACAACTGGTAGAAAAAGATCGAAAAAACAAATTAAATATCTGCGTCACAACTGTCCAACTGAATTCCTAAACGAGGCATAAAGTTATAATATTCGAAATTTACAATTAGGTCAGATAACATCACTGTTAAAATTGTTCTATGTTTATATGATAAACTAAAACTTTTTAAAATTTATTTTAACCCCTTGGAGACGGGTGATTCAGAAAAGCATTCGTACAAAATCAGAATCAAGTTGTAATTCAATAAAAAACGGTAATTTAAATGTAGTCGTTGCTAATTTGACAGACTTACTTTGCTTTTGCATTAATTATTGTTAGTTTAATCATATATATAATTAATGTTAATTCAAAGTATAACTAAATAGTTTTATTTTGAACAAAGTAATGGTGAATTAAATAAATCAAACAATTATAACTCCGCCCACAAATAAACTGCTAAAGAAATACTTTGATTACCAGTTTTATCTTTTTACCCTGATTGATACGGTTTTATGCTGGCACATATTTGTGACAGTCGGCACGAAAGGGTTAAACATATTGATGAATTAATAATTTTTTTATATTTTTTGAATTTTTAGTATATCGTAAATTGGAGTGTGAAAATCCCCTGAACTAATTTTTTGAGGCTAATTCAAGCACTATATTAGTGCAGCATGCGACATTTTTTATGGTTTACCAATTTTCATATTTTATAAATCTGATTAACACTAATTTTAACTACAACTATACAAACAATTCGCGATCGCAACGAACTATAGGGGG